AGCTCTGGTTTCTTCCTCGGGCTCACAGGTGTCTTCAAAGCCAACCTACCTGCTTCTCTTTGCTCCCAGCCCTGGAACACTGTGACTTCATGGGCGACAGCTCAAGGCCTAAGGGACCCAGCAGAAATCTTCCTCCCAGAGCTCAGCAGCTCCAAGGTGCTTTCACAGCTCTAAGTTCGGCTCTCCCCAATATCAGGCTCTGGTTTCCACATCTCCGATAGGTTCGTGGTGTCTAGGCAGCAGACAGGAAGCAGAGGCTGGCACAGCCCTCATGGCCTCTACAGAGACGTTGACTCCGCCTGCTCCAGCAGAGCCCTCCCAGTCCACAGAGCAATTGGAGCTTCAGCCATCAAAACTGAAAGCTAAGGTAATGCGAACTGGGTGTGTTTCCCTCTGCGTGTGTCTTTCTTTTTCAGGAAGAGCAGAAAGTCTCCCTCCCTACCCCACCCTACTCCACCCCTCCCCTCCCCACTCTATCCCACCCTGCCCCCTCCACCCTGCCTGCTGGGGAGATCCTGAGGTCTACCCATGTTGTGGAAATGTCATGAGGAGACAGGTAGAGGACAAGGACACCTCACTGAGTCTCTGTTCAGCATCAGGAGCTGGGCTGGACTCACCAGTTATGTCAACTCCTGTCACAACAGCAAGTGGAGGTGATGTCATGAGCCCTGATCCAGCTCCAGTAACTAAGATTAGGGGAGGTAGGTCTTCCAGAACCCTGTCTTCCCTGTCCCCACCCCCATCCCACCTCATCTCCAGCCCTGCCCAACACCCACTCCAGGCATCACAGACTCAGCAGGAGTCTGCAAGGGACCTTGGGTCCCAGGAGCATTGATATTTCAAACTTATCTCCTCCTGGGTCCCCAGCCTATGACTTCCATGTGGGGTTGGAGGATGGGGTGGAAGGCAATGACAGCAGGAGATCAGACAGCTGAGAGGACACTGAGGGGCCTGACTGGGGTATCCACTGTGTCCTCTCCCAGGGATTGGGGTCACAGCCAGCTGCACTGACAATAAGCACTAGTACAGAGGCCACAGGGGACTGTGCTTGTGACTCAGGACCCTGACACTGTGTGGAGTGGGACATGCCTGCCATCTCAGCACTCAGGAAGTGGAGGCAGGATGACCAGGAACTCAAGGCCATCCTCAGCTACATAGACTTAAAGTCAGCCTGAGCTTTGTGACCCCTGTCTGAAAGTTGGGGGGCTGAGTGAGGAGGAACACATCTTAAATATAAGCAAGGCTGCACAGATGGATCTGTCTGGTTTTGTACAGCCTGGTCTAAATATTTAGTTCCAGGCCAGCTCTGTAGGAGAGAGAGAGAGAGAGAGAGAGAGAGAGAGAGAGAGAGAGAGAGGAGAGAGAGAGAGAGAGAGAGAACAACAAAAAAAGTGGGTTACAGTGTGATTAAGTAGACTATAAAAGCATTGGCTAACAAGCCTGACAACCTGAGTTTTATTGTTGACTCCACATAAAGGTAGAAGGACCCAAGTGACTCCTCCACCTCCCTGTCACTCCATGTTTGAGCCATGACATGGACACACTGGTCCTCATTTGCCTACTCACACCCATGCACACACACACACACACACACACACTATTAGATAAAGAATGTTTTGAATGTTTGTTTTCATTCTGTGTGTATGCACATTTTCCTGTGTTCATGCATGTGTGCCTCATGTGTTCCTGGTTGCCGCAGAGTCAGAAACTGAAAACCTGAGCAGCTCTGTGGGTGCTAAGAGGTGAATCCTGCTCCTCTGCAAGAGCAGCAGGAACTCTAACCACTGAGCCATAGCTCCAGCCCCATAAATAATTTTTGAATTGGGAGGTAAAAGGCTTCTCTCAAGTGGCCCTTCTGGACTCTTTCCACTCTGTCCTTTGTGACAGGAAGAGGAGACAGTGGAAACAGCAGTGAGGCGGCTGTGGCAAGGACGGCCTTGGTGTGGTGGCAGGAACACCAACAGCAGAGAAGGGACAGGGGAAACTAAGGAGAGGCCTGAGCAGAAACCCCAGGGGCAGAGACACTGAGGGGCAGCTGGAGTAGAGGGGCAGTGAGAGTGGACAGAAAGCTGGGGCAGAAGACAGACAGACGGACTTGAGAGCCAACAAGGAGAAACTGCAGACCCCAGTCACCAGATGAGATCTGGGAGCCACAAGCTTCAAGAGTCCAGGCTGCAGGGTCTGGAGACACAGTTCAGAGGTTAA